CTTCCTCTCCTTTTTTCCTCTATTTATTCCTTCCTTCCTCTCCTTTTCTCCTCTATTCATTCTTTTCTTCCTCTCCTCTCTTTTTTTCCTCTCTTTATTCCTTCCTTGCAATGGCAAACCACGTCTGAAAAAACGTTGCAGGGACCTGTCAAGGCTGCCTCCAAGAAATGGACACGATCGAACAGAGAAAACAAAAACCTCTTTATCACTGCAGGGAGAAATTGTAAATTACCTAAAATCAATTCACCAAGAGTGACGTCGGTGGTGGGAATAAAATGGAATAATTCTGAGATACAGAAATTGATTTTTTTTTTTCCCCTCTCCCCCTGCCTGTGTTTTCTTCTCGGTTTCAGGATATTGTGGAAGCTGACTTACCTGCAGCCCTAACCCTGTTCAAATCTCTCCAAGAACAGGTGAGATAAGCGATTTTACTTTTCCTCTTCCCTAAATGTTCAGCCCTCTTCCCAGCTTTTGCAGCTGACTGTGTTTCTTCTCTCCTTTTTCAAAAATGTGATTTTGCTTCGTCCTTCCTTGGTTGGGGTTGCAGATGGTTCTTGGTGCCCTCTGAGCTTGCTTGGTTTTTCTTCTTGCAGACGTTTTATTACCCAACTAGGTAACCTCATCAGTGCTGACGAGTGCTGTTTGCTGTCAGTTTATATTCCAGTTTCTATTAAAACAGCACTCCCTACTAGCACTGATGAGGTTACCTAGTTGGGTAATGGAATGTCTGCAAGAAAACAGCCAAGCTCAGAGAGCCTCAAGGACTCCTCATTTCAGCCCTGAGTTGTAAATATTCTCCTTTAATTGATACAGGTGGTTGCAGTTACTCATCATGTACAACGTTTAATGCAGAAGATACGAGCAGGCGATTACCCCACCGAAAAGGTAAAAACTGTCGAACAAACGGAGACGGATGTGGGCCAATGCAGGCAGTCCTCGACTTAACAATCACAATTTTTTATTATTATTATTATTTATATGCCGCCCTTCTCCGGAGACTCAGGGCGGCTTACAATGCGCTAAGCAATAGCCTTCATCCTTTTGTATATTTATACAAAGTCAGCTTATTGCCCCCACAAACTGGGTCCTCAATTTACCTACCTTAGAAAGGATGGAAGGCTGAGTCAACCTTGAGCCTTGGCGAGATTCGAACCTGCAGTAATTGCAGGCAGCTGTTCTTAATAACAGGGTGCTTTAGACCACTGTACTACCAAGGCTCTTGAGCCCCACATTTCTTTTTTATTTTTTTGAAAAAGTTTTTTTTATTTTTTAAAACATCTTTCCCAAAACAAAGCATTGATCCGGTCACAGATTGATACAAATCATTAACAAATCTTATTTTTCAATTAACACAACTTAATATTTTACTCAGTTATATCCCCAAATTCTATCAATTTAACTATGCCATCGTCCCAAAAACCCGTTACTTAAATCTTAAATCCTAACCAAATATCATTCCATTTTTCTCTTTCTTTTTGTTTAGATGGATATATTTTAACAGTATAAATCATTACAGTTATTGTAAGCATTTAAAAAATATTTTAACTGTTGCTCCCAATATAATCATCTTCATTACTTTACTATTAATCCTAACACAATCATTTCATTTTTACTATTCCCAACATAAACATAATTTCCAGCATAATCATTTTATTTGAGCCCCACATTTCTGTTGCCAAGCGAGACGGTTATTCGGTGAGCTTTGCCCCCATTGTGCGACCTTTCTTCCCACCGTCATTAAGCGAATCGCTGCCGTCGTTCAGCGAGTCACCCGATTGTTAATTGAATCCGGCTGCCCCGTGGATTTCGCTGGTCAGAAAGTCTCAAAAGGGGATGGCGTGACCCCATGGACGCTGCAACCGTCATAAATATGAGTCTGCATCTGGATGTCAATCACGTGACCATGCTGTAACGGTCATAAGTGTGAAAAACAGTCATAAGTCACTTCAATGCCATCGTAACATTGGACAGTCACTAAACGAACTGTTGTAAGTCGAGGACTATCTGCATTCTGCTTCTACTGTGAACTTTTAATTATCTGCAAGACCTCCGCAGCTAATCTCCTCCAACTATGTCCATGTCAGATACGTTTCTCCTTCTGTTGTGGCCCACCAGCTGAGCTGGTGGCAGACTCAGACTGTGAGGAGGTTGGGGAGGAACATGGGCCAGTCCTGGAGTCTGAGGAAGGCTCTGATGAGGGCTCTGCGTCGGAGGCAGAGATGGGGCTGTCCGACATCGGAGTCGGACATCAGTGGGGCAGAAGAACAGCTGGACCCTGTTCCCAGTGTGCGCATGGCAGAGCTGACAAGAGAAGGGAACAGCTAAGGAACAAGGGTCGACTCAGGAGTAAAGCCACAGGTGGACGGTGAATGGCCCCTCCCAGAGGGAATAAAAGAGGAGCAACAGGGGTGTGGAGTTTGCAGGAGACAATTAGTTCGCTTAATAGGTTCATGACTCTCCGAGATTCCTTGCCAAGTTTTGAAGATATCGGCTTGGCAGCTCTCCAAACCAGATAAGGTCTGTGACTGTAAATTCTCCCTTGAAAGACGTTGCTGGATATGAATGAGAAGAATTCACAGTCACTTAATAAAAAGGGGTTTTTGTCGGGACAAGGAGTCTGCTTTATGCTCTTGGGAAGCCTAAGTCAGAACACCTTCTGTGGTGGCATCTCATACCTCAATTCTCTTCCCCGAGTCTCCACTCAAGGTCGTAAATCTTCCCTATGGTTCACCGGCCTCCTTTTTCTCCTCTCATCAGGGCCTCAGTTTCCTGGAAGTGAAGGACCATCTCCTTCTCCTCTACATTCAAGACCTCTCCCACTTGATGTTGGAGAAGACCTCGGGACATTCTGTGGCCAACCACCCTGCCTTACTGCGGTTGGTGGAAACGCGGACGGTAGGAGCCATCCTGGACTTCTGCAGGGAGATCTGTCTGGTCCATTAGCTTTACGATAGGTGGACCTCATCTCCCAGAATTGCCCAGCCAATATGGCTCTTAGGAACCTTATTACTTTAAGATGGGTGGACTTCAGCTCCCAGAATTCCCCAGCCAATATGGCTCTTAGGAACCTTAATAACTTTAAGATGGGTGGACTTCAACTCCCAGAATTCCCCAGCCAATATGGCTCTTAGGAACCTTATTACTTTAAGATGGGTGGACCTCATCTCCCAGAATTCCCCAGCCAATATGGCTCTTAGGCACCTTAATAACTTTAAGATGGGTGGACTTCAACTCCCAGAATTCCCCAGCCAATATGGCTGTTAGGAACCTTAATACTTTAAGATGGGTGGACCTCATCTCCCAGAATTCCCCAGCCAATGTGGCTCTTGGGAACATTAGTAAATTGAAGATCGGTGGACTTCATCTCCCAGAATTCCTCACTCAGCAAGGGAGTTAGCAACCTTAGTTACTTTAAGATGGGTGGACTTCAACTCCCAGAATTCCCCAGCCAATATGGCTGTTAGGAACCTTGGTAAATTCAAGATGGGTGGACTTCAAGTCCCAGAATTCCCCAGTCAGTATGGCTCTTGGGAACCTTAGTAAATTGAAGATGGGTGGACCTCATCTCCCAGAATTCCCTAGCCAATGTGGCTCTTGGTAAATTGAAGATGGGTGGACTTCAACTCCCAGAATTCTCCAGCCAATATGGCTCTTGGGAACCTTAGTAAATTGAAGATGGGTGGACTTCATCTCCCAGAATTCCTCAACAAGCACGGGAGTTAGCAACCTTATTAACTTTAAGATGGGTAGACTTCAACTCCCAGAATTCCCCAGCCAATATGGCTGTTAGGAACCTTAGTAAATTGAAGATGGGTGGACTTCATCTCCCAGAATTCCTCAACAAGCACGGGAGTTAGCAACCTTAGTTACTTTAAGATGGGTGGACTTCAACTCCCAGAATTCCCCAGCCAATATGGCTGTTAGGAACCTTAGTAAATTGAAGACGGGTGAACCTCATCTCCCAGAATTCCACAGCCAGCATGGCTGTTAGCAACCTTAAGAATGTTAAGATGGTGGACTTCAACTCCCAGAATTCCTCAGCTGACTGCTGGCGGTGGAATTCTGGGAGTTGAAGTCCACCCATCTTAAAAACTGCCACAGGTTGAGAAACACCGATTTATTGAAATAAAAATAAAATGGTGGGGGGGAATAGAAAAATGTCCTTTTCTTGATAAGTGCTCATAGCTCTGATGAAGCCCCATGGGACCCAGTGACACGTATGACCGTAATTAAAGCTGGTTTATATCTTTCAATACGCTGCTTTTTTGGGGGGTGGATGCACAGGTGCTGGAGAAGATGCGTCCGATTGAGCAGAAATTGAAATACCAGGTGGACAAACTGGTGAAGGCGGTTGTTACTGGGGGCCTGGGTAAGTCCTGAGGGATTTGGAGGGGTGGGGGTGGAAAAAAATGGTGCAAAATGGACCCTTCAGAAGAGTCCTTCTTAACCGGTTTTCCGTGATTTCTGCTCTCATCTTTTCAGCTGACGACGATCCCTTGAAATACAAACCGAATCCGGATAACTTGGTCAGCAAGGTAGGAAAAGAAAAAAAAAAAAATTAGAGTTGAATACAAGTAGGTCCTCAACGTACAACGATTCGTTTAGTGACCGAAGTGACAAGGGTGCGGAAAAAAGGTGACCTAGGACCGTTTTTCACACTTAACAACCGTTGCAGCATCCCGACAGTCACGTGATCGAAATTGAAAACACTTTGACAACCGGCTCTTTATTTATGACGGTCGCAGGATCCTGGGGTCGTGGGATCACAGTTTGCGACCTTCTGACCAGCAAAGTCAATGTGGGGAACCAGATTCACTTAACAACCGGGTTACTCGCTTAACAACTGCGGGGATTCACTTAACAAACCGTGGCAAGAAAGGTCGTAAAAATGGGGCAAAACTCTTGTTAACAAATGCCTCCCTTAAAACAAATTATGGGGCTTAATTGCGGTCATAAGGCGAGGATTTCCTGAACAGCCTTACCTGGGGCATGTCTAAGGTGGGACTAGAACTCACCGTGTCCTGGTGATTGGCCCAAAGTCACCCAGCCGGCTTTCATGCCTAAGGCGGGACTAGAACTCACCGTCTCCTGGTGATTGGCCCAAAGTCATCTAGCCAGCTTTCCTGTCTAAAGTGGGACTGGAATTCACCGTCTCCTGGTGATTGGCCCAAAGTCACCCAGCCGACTTTCATCTATAAGGCGGGACCTAGAACTCACCGTTTCCTGGTGATTGGCCCAAAGTCACCCAGCCGGCTTTCGTGTATAAGGCGGGACTAGAACTCACCGTCTCCTGGTGATTGGCCCAAAGTCACCCAGCCGGCTTTCATGTATAAGGCGGGACTAGAACTCACTGTCTCCTGGTGATTGGCCCAAAGTCACCCAGCCGACTTTCGTGTATAAGGCGGGACTAGAACTCACCGTCTCCTGGTGATTGGCTCAAAGTCACCCAGCCGGCTTTCATGTATAAGGCGGGACTAGAACTCACCGTTTCCTGGTGATTGGCCCAAAGTCACCCAGCCGACTTTCGTGTATAAGGCGGGACTAGAACTCACCGTTTCCTGGTGATTGGCTCAAAGTCACCCAGCCGACTTTCACGCCTAAGGCGGGATTAGAACTCACAGTCTCCTGCTGATTGGCCCAAAGTCACCCAGCCGACTTTCATCTATAAGGCGGACTAGAACTCACCGTTTCCTGGTGATTGGCCCAAAGTCACCCAGCTGACTTTCATCTATAAGGCGGGACTAGAACTCACCGTCTCCTGGTGATTGGCCCAAAGTCACCCAGCCGACTTTCATGTATAAGGCGGGACTAGAACTCACTCTCTCCTGGTGATTGGCTCAAAGTACATCTACAAATGCTGATAGATACCGTGTTTCTCCGAAAACACGACCCACCCCAATAATAAGCACAGCCCTAATTTTTGGGGGGTGGGTCTAATATTACAATAGAGGCAATAGTGCGTCCACGACACGTCAAGCTCAGCAAATCTGGCAGCAGTGGGATTCGAACCGTCTGAATAACACCTCTGGAGTCTGGCCTGCTTCACTCAAAAAAAAAAAAGGAAAACCACCTCGAAAATAAGCCCAAGTGCTTATTTTCAACTCTAAAAGAAAATAAGACTCAAGTCTTATTTTCGGAGAAACACGGTAGAATTTTGAGAGTTGCAGTCCCCACTTCTTAAAATTGCCCAGATTAAGAAACATTGATCTACTCTTCTTTTTTTTTTTTAAATATCTTTATTAAATATTTACAGTAAAATTAACACATAATAATGATTGGAAAACAATATAAGAAATGAAATGTAGGAACACATAAACACAAGACTAAAACGAAACAACAAACACGACTAACCGCGAGTTAAACTCACTCTCCAATTAATATTAACTAATATCATCCTAACCAAACATTTCAACACAATCAAGTTCTTTTAATTATCTACAAAACAATTGGCCTGTTTTTTTCAAAATTATAAAGAATTATATAGCCTATTAAGTATCTATTTAATCTAATAAGATGATCTTATCACCTATCCTAGGTTTAACCTTTTTTTAAGCCAGACAAAGCATCTGTCCCAACTTTTATTATATATTGAGTCTTTCTTATCTTTTAATATATATGTCAACCTGTCCATCTCAGCACATCGAAGAATCTTATTTATTGTCAGATGGTCAGGGGGCGTATCTGCATCTTTCCACAGTTGGGCAAATGCCATTCTCGCCACTGTTGAGATATGGATAAATATTGATCTATTCTTCAATTGAACGAAATTCTTGCCATTCTCTCGTCCCATTCCCAGCTCAGTGACTCGGAAGACGGAGAAGAGGAAGAAGATGGTGGTGGTGCCTCCAAGACTCCTGGGAAACAGACTTCCAAAGGAAGCATCCGGAAATACATCCCGCCTCGCCTGGTCCCCGTGCATTACAGTAAGAACGAAACCTGGTTGTGCAAAGGGAGTCGTGACGTAAGAAAGAGCAAACCGAGTTGCTTTATCCCTCACGAACGTCACTCTTGTCTCTCGCAGATGAAACCGAGATGGAGAGAGAGAAGAAGATGGTGGAACAAGCCAAAAAGCGAGCACTTAGCAGCTCCATCATCCGCGAGCTAAAGGAACAGTATTCCGACGCTCCGGAAGAGATCCGGGAAGGGCATCACGCTCACACGGCCCGACAGAACCGGGAGGATGCGCATCGGTTAGTGAGGAAGGAGGGAAGGGTCAGACCGGACGCGAGGAGGGTGAGGGCATCAGCCTGTTTGCTCAGAAGGAGCGGGGGAGGTGGATTTTATTTATTTATTTAGGGTGATGAATAATTCAGGGTGATGAACGCACAAAATATTCCTTCGTCCTCCTAGCTTCCCCACAACAACAACAATAACCCTGTGAGGCGGGCTGGACATAGCGGGATTGACTCAAGTCAGTTTTCATGCCGGAAACGGGACTAGAACTCACAGTCTCCTGGTTATTGGCCCAACGTCACTCAGCCTGTTTTCATGCCTAAGGCGGGACTAGAACTCAAATGTCTTCGGATGATTGGCCCAAAGACACCCAATGGCTTTCCATCCCTAAGGTGGGACTAGAACTCACTATCTCCCAGGAATTGTCCCATAGTCACCCAGCGGCTTTAGTGCCTAAGGCAGGACTAGAACTCACTGTCTCTTGGTGATTGGCTCAAAGTCATCCAGTCCGCTTTCGTGCCTAAGGCAGGACTAGAACTCACCGGCTCCTGGTGATTGGCCCAAAGTCACCCAGTCAGCTTTCATGCGTAAAGCAGGACTAGAACTCACATCTGCTTTCTAGCCGGGTGCCTTAACCAGTAGACCCCACTAGCTTCCGGGAGGGTTGAGCGTAATGCTGGGCTAAACTTCCTTTAGCTTAAAACACTCTACTCGGAGGTGGGATTCAGCCGGTTCAGACCGGTTCGACGGAACCGGTAGTGGTAATCACGGGCAAACCAGGCGCACGCGCGCACGGCAAACCAGTAGTAACATAAAGTGAAACCCAACCCTGTCTACGGTGCTCCATCTCCAGGCGAAACAGCCAGGGTTCAAATTTTCCAAAATATATTTGGGCTTAAGGACGAATGGGGAAATCCCGACTTTTCTGGCAAAATTGGAAAAGTAGAAGCTGTCAGGTTTCGATGTCGTCTCAAATAAAATAAATTGCATTTCCAAACAAATAGTCTTTGATGAAATCTTTCATTTATTAAGCACAACAATCTGTCCCCGATTATGTCGTAGCCAACACCGACTTCCTGACCCCAAACCTTCCCTTTCCGTTCCCCAATTCTCTGCATCTCATTGGCCATCTTCCAAATCACTCTCCCTATATCTACTACTTCAGTTCCCAGGAATGTCCCCCTTCCCATCCCATCTCCTAGGGGATATTATCTTCAGGGAAAATAAGTAGGTGAAAAGTCAAGCGTCCTCTTGCCAGCTGCCCCCTCTTCTCCTCCTTATGTCAGCGCTAGAGTAAATGCAGGTTGAAGTGCTGACAGAAGCTTTATGGGTTGTGTGGGGGGGCCCAAGCTCCGATAGGAGAGAGCACCGTGGACGGGCCTAATGGAAAGAACATCGTGGATTTTGAAGCAGGAGTCTCGGTTGTACTGGGTGGAGCCTCCAGAGGCAGACGCAGTCTACCTTGGAACCCCATTCGTTCGCCTCGGCTGTCCAAACATGTCCCCGTCTTCTTGTCTTGTCGCAGGACCAACTACGAGGAGAGCATGATGGTCCGTCTCAACGTCACCCGGAAGGAGAAAGCCCGTCGTAGACGAGGAGGACTCGTCAGCTCCCAGCTCAGCTCCCTCACCCACTTCGGGGACATCAGCGCCCTCACAGGGGCCACGCCGTCTATGGGAGAAGTGAGTTTATTGGGTCTGCCTCTGATCGTTGAGACGGGAAAGGGTTTGGTGAGGGTCTGAAAGGCGCCCCCCCTTGCGGGTTAGTGACGGGGCAGGAAGTGGGAAAGGTAGCTCGACGTAAGTGAGCCATGTTGGAAATGGGGGGGGGCTTTTTCGTGAATATTATTGGGATGCGTGAATACTGTGCACCGGAAACTCGTGGCCGGTCTTGTTTCTTCTTAGTTATTGGAGACATTTAATTTATTTTGAATTATTTTACAAGTAGCTCAAGGTGGGGAAAATATCCAACACACCTTTCTCCTTCTCTTCCCCGCCCCCCCCCAACAACAACACTGCGAGGTGGGTTGGGCTGAGAGGGAGGGTCTGGCCCAAAGTCATCCAGATAGGCTTTCATGCCTAAGGCGGGACTAGAACTCACCGTCTCCTGGTGATTGGGCCAAAGTCACCCAGCTGGCTTGCATGCTTAAAGGCGGGACTAGAACTCAACATCTCCTGGTGATTGGACCAAAGTCATCCAGCTGGCTTGCATGCTTAAGGCGGAACTAGAACTCAACATCTCCTGGTGATTGGACCAAAGTCATCCAGCTGGCTGTCATTCTTAAGGCGGACTAGAACTCAACATCTCCTGGTGATTGGACCAAAGTCATCCAGCTGGCTTGCATGCTTAAGGCGGAACTAGAACTCAACATCTCCTGGTGATTGGACCAAAGTCATCCAGCTGGCTGTCATTCTTAAGGCGGGACTAGAACTCAACATCTCCTGGTGATTGGGCCAAAGTCACCCAGCTGGCTTGCATGCTTAAGGCGGGACTAGAACTCAACATCTCCTGGTGATTGGACCAAAGTCATCCAGCTGGCTGTCATTCTTAATGCGGGACTAGAACTCACGGTCTCCTGGTGATTGGGCCAAAGTCACCCAGCTGGCTTGCATGCTAAGGCGGGACTAGAACTCAACATCTCCTGGTGATTGGGCCAAAGTCATCGAGCCGGCTGTCATTCTTAAGGTGGAACTAGAACTCACTGTCTCCTGGTTACTGGTTCAAAGTCACTTAGCTTGCTTTCAAGTTTAAGATGGGACTAGAACTCAGGATCTCCCACTTTGTAGTCTGGTGCTTGGAATAGCTGATCTAGGCCCGTAAACCTTCCTACTACCGTGCTTTGCAAACTGGGAGTGGATCCCTTTGGCCGTGGAGGGGAATCATCAGAACTTTTTGAACCCGTGGCTTCTCTCTTTATGAGAGAATCTGGAGCGCTGTTGTACAACCTCAGCAACTTGAAGTCCCAAGCTGGGCGGACTTCAACTCCCAGAATTGCCCAGCCAGTCATCCCTGTATTTTTTTTTTCCTCCTATCTCCTAGAACGGAGAGATTGCAGAGAAAGGGATTAGAAGAGAGTATGCAGTCCACAATGGGCGTACATATCAAAAGGAATTCATTAGCATTAGGGAATTCTGGGAGTTGAAGTCCCATTTATCTCAAAACTTGCCGCGGTTGCTAACCTCCATGATGGCTAGAGAATTGTGAGAGTGAAATTGAATCACTGAACGATGGCAATGATTTACGATCAAAATCCCAGCCTCCGTTGCGGTCGTTAATTTGAGCACTACCAGTTAATCTCCTGAATAACACGTGGGAATTCCCTTCTCTGTCCTTAGATTCCCCTCTTCCTGTTGATTTTTCTCTTTCCTCTGATCTCTTTTTTTCTTCTGCCACTTCCTCCTGACAGGATTTCAATCCACCCAAAAAGAGGAAGAAGAATATAAATACGAAACGAGGCAAGAAAAAGGGTAAGCGTCGATGAGAAGGAAGTGATCTCTTTTTTTCCTCCCCCCCCCCCCCCCCCTTTTAAATCGGAAAATTAGGAAGTTTACCAAACTTCCTTCCTGCCCCCCAATTCCCGCCTGTCTCTCCCGCTGGTTTAGGAAGCGAAGGGAATCTCGAATTGGAATTCTTCCCGGGTGAAAAGATTAAAAATCTAGAATCGGTGCAAAGCGAGGATGTCTCAAAATCGAATATATTTTGCCAAGCGTTTGGTTTTCTCTCAATTGGTCATTTGCAAACTGCGTATATTAGATCGCCGTTTGCGATCTTCCCAGCCGGCTTCCGACCGGTATAGTCCGTGAGGAAAGGCGGATTTGCTTAACGACCGCTTGGTTCGGTTAACGACTGCAGTGGCTCACTTCACAAATCTGTGGGTGGGGGGGGGGGGGAAGGTGGTAAAATCGGTCGTGACTCACTTAACGGCCACCTTACTTAGCGATGGGAGATTCCGGTTGGAAGGCGAGGATCACCTGCCGTTCCTTTGCTCCTTGTGAATCTCCGTTCCTCACTGAGGTCTAGCCTCTTGATAGAAACCCAGCCTCTTCCTATCTAAAGCTAGAATTTTTTTCCCGTACTAAATTCATTCTCTCTCTCTCTCTCTCTCTCTCTCTCTCTCTCTCTCTCTCTCTCTCTCTCTCTTTCTTTCTCTCCCCTCTTTTCCCTCCCTCGTCCTCCAGGTTTCCGCAAGAGACGATAAAGCTCACTGCTCAGGATTTGAGGTCTCCAGATCCCCAATAACTCGGAATGACACCCCCCGTTTAGCCTGTATGGGATCTTAGTACTTAATAATAAAGCTGAAAGGCCTTCTTTTCCGGTATAATCTCTCTCGTGGTTTATGCTTTCCGGGGAGAAAAGCCATGATAGAGTCCCGTGATGGCGAGCCTACAGCACGCGTGCCGAAAGTGGCACACGAAGCCATGTCGGCCGGCACGCGCAGCCTTGCCTGTCTGTCTTCTGGGTTTCTGGCCTGCATGCCCGCGTGACAATCGGCTCCTTCACACGTGCAGCAGTGCCGAAAACGGGTATGTGCATGTGCGCCAGCCAGCTGATCGTTGGGCGCGCGTGCACGCTAGAACCTGGGACTTTGGCTTTTCCGGGGCACGATCAAGACGAGCGAGCGAGCAACGTTTCCACGCGACCATTTTCGCCGCTCGTTCGCCATCGCTGATACAGTCAGTTACGAGGCGAAGAAACACACATTTTGGGGCTTGCTCTGAATTCTAATCTCCCGCGTTGTGAAGAAAAGCAAACTTTTTTTTTTTTCCAAAAGAATAATTCAAAAGTTTAGCCTAGTTAACCAGGTTCACGACGGGCGATCGGGGCCAGTTCTCAATTTGTCTCTGCTGTTTCCGCAGTTCATCCCCAAACACACCTCGCATTCCGAAAGCAGTCCTCTCCTTAGGACCGCTTGCTTTGCGGCTGTTGAAATTTCCGACGAATCTACCTTCCAGGTGACAGGTAGGCCTCGAGTTACAATACTTCATTTAGTAGTTTTTAGTATTTTTTAGTTTTTATTATATTTGTATACCGCCCTTCTCCTGAAGGACTCAGGGCGGTGAAGAGCCATGATAAAACAACATACAAGACAAAATTTAAAAAACATATTAAAACAATTGAATCTTTGGCCAAAATTAAAACTTCCAATTAAAACCATATTAAACCACTTTAAAATCATTTATCCCGTCAGACCGGCTTCCTGAAATAATAGGGTCTTCAGAGCACGACGGAAGGTGCGGAGGTCGGGGATCCTTCGTATGTCCGGGGGCAATTCATTCCATAGGGCAGGAGCCCCCACAGAGAAGGCTCTCCCCCTGGGGGTCGCCAGTCAACATTGTTTGGCCGACGGCACCCTGAGGAGGCCCTCTCTGTGGGAGCCATTCAAGGTTTACAACGGCACTGGAAAAAAAAAGGGACTTAGGATCATTTTTCACACTTGACGACCGTTGCGGCGTCCCGGTGGCCAGGTGATCCAAATTTAAATGCTTGGCAACTGATTCATATTTACGACAGTTGCAACGTCCCGGGGTCACGAGATCCGCAGTGGTGGGATTCAAATAATTTAACAACCGGTTTTCTGCCCTAATGACGGGCTGGGTGGGCGTAGCCAGAGTGTGTGACTGACAGGCAGCATTCGGCCTCCACCGTCTGGGAGCAAAAACAGGCCGCGAGGGGAGGGTGACGTACCCTCCTGCGCCTCGTTTTGGGCCTAGTAGGCCTCCCTGCACTTAACCTGGGAGCCAAAATGGGGCATGTGGGGACTCCTGGAAGGGGAAGGGTTGGGCCAGCCAGCCACCAATTTAAATCTGGTGACCCCGTTTTGCGATCTGATGAGCAGAGTCCCTGGGGGGCGGGGGGGATCCAGATTTGCTTAACAACCGTGTTCCTCGCTTTTAACAACTGCAGCGATTCACTCATCGGCGGTGGCAAGAAAGCGGGGCCAAAACTCACTCGACAAATGTCTCGCTTAGTGACAGAAAACATGGGCTCAATTGTCGTAAAGCGAGGTCTACCCATAATCGCAACCTGGATGTGACGTTCAAATGCTATCCCTCTCTTCACCCCACCCACCCCTACTCGTCGTCCCATGACCCAACTTGGGCACTCAGCCCTCCCAGCTACATTTATGACTGTTTTACCGCATCCTACGGTGACGGCATGACCTCCTTTTACGACCGTTTTGCTGAAAAAAGCTGACGTCGGCTTCCGATTTCAGCAAACACTCGTTCTGCTTAACGACACTGGCATTTGCTTAATGACCGCCGCCCTCCCCCCCAAATTAGATTGTTAAAACAGGTCGGCCGCCGACCGACCTGTTTTAACATCGTCGCGAATGATGGCCATAATAGGGGCAGCCTCCCTGACAGTCGTAACTCGAGGACTGGCACGTCCGCGGGGGGAAACGCGTGACGTGTGACTTCGGCTTCTTGTTTTTTTCTCTCTCTCTCTTTTTTTTTTTTTTTAGCGATCGAAGTCCTTAATACGGGAATCCCCACGTTTCTCTCGTTCTCTCTCTCTGTGTGTCTCTCACCCCCCCTCCTCAAATTCCTCGCCTGCGTTAAAGTGACTGGCAAAAATCAATGGCATTGATCCAACTCGGGCTGGGGAGAGGAGGGGGAAGACGGCGGAGTGGGGAAGGGAATCCTCGCCTGGTTTAAACTCTGATCGGGCTAAGTGGAATCCGATAAAACACGAGGAGGGAATCGATGGCCCGACACGCTCAAGGAACCGACGGGAGGGATCAGCGCTGAAAAGTAAGGGGAGGGGGCCGGGAAAGAGAGGAAAATAGAAATGGAGAAATTGTAGCGGATTGCAGGGACTTGAGATGGGGTGGAAAAATGCCCCAATTAGGATGTCTCAAAAAATATGTATGTATTTTATTTATTTATTTGTGTCCCGTGTCTTTTCCAACACCTTTCCTCTTATTTTCTCCACAACAACCACCTTGTGAGGTGGGTTTGGTTGAAAGGGGGGGGGGAATGGCCCGAAGACATCCTGCCAGCTTTTGGGCCTGAGAATTGTGCCTAGAATTCCCAGTCTCCCGGTGATTGGCCCAGAATCAGCCGGCCGGCTTTCAGGCCTAAAGTGGAACTAGAACTCACCTTCTCCCGGTGATTGGCCCAAAGTCACCCAGCTGGCTTTCATGCATAAGGTGGGACTAGAATTCCCAGTCTCCCGGTGAGTGGCCCAGAATCAGCCAGCCGGCTTTCATGCATAAGGTGGGACTAGAATTCCCAGTCTCCCGGTGAGTGGCCCAGAATCAGCCAGCCGGCTTTCATGCATAAGGTGGGACTAGAATTCCCAGTCTCCCGGTGAGTGACCCAAAGTCACCTAGCCAGCTTTCATTCCCAAAGCAGAACTAGAACTCACCCTCTCCTGGTGATTCGGCTTTCAGGCCTAAGGCGGGATTAGAACTCACCATCTCCCAGTGATTGGCCGAAAGTCACCCAGACGGCTTTCAGGCCTAAGGTGGGACTAGAACTCACCATCTCCTGGTGATTGGCCCAAAGTCACCCAGCCGGCTTTCAGGCCTAAGGTGGGACTAGAACTCACCATCTCCTGGTAATTGGCCCAAAGTCACCCAGCTGGCTTTCATGCATAAGGTGGGACTAGAATTCCCAGTCTCCCACTGAGTGGCCAGAATCAGCCAGCCGGCTTTCAGACCTAAAGCGGAACTAGAACTCACCATCTCCTGGTGATTGGCCCAAAGTCACCCAGTCGGTTTTCGTGCTTAGGGTGGGACTAGAACTCACTGTCTCCTGGTGATTCGGTTTCAGGCCTAAGGCGGGATTAGAACTCACTGTCTCCCAGTGATTGTCCAAAAGTCACCCAGACAGCTTTCAGGCCTAAGGTGGGACTAGAACTCACCATCTCCTGGTGATTGGCCCAAAGTCACCCAGCCGGCTTTCATGCCTAAGGTGGGACTAGAACTCCCAGTCTCCTTAGCCACGAAAGCCAGTCGGTTGACTCTGGGCTAATCACCAGGAGACGGTGAGTTCTAGTCCTGCCTTAAGCATGAAAGCCAGCTGGGTGATTTTGAGCCAATCCCTCCCTCTCTCTCAGCCTCACAGGGTGGTTGTTATGGGGAAAAGAGAAGGAGGGGGGGAAAGAATGTGAGGTATATTTGCCGCCTTGAGGTGTATATGAAAAAAAAATGGGCTAAAAATTAACGCCAGTCGCTCGACCTGCCCGTTGCTGGAGGCTGGATCTGAACTCGGCTCCTGGTCGATCAGCATTGTAAGATGCTATAATTGGCAGCAAAATCAAGAGAAAACCATTTTGAGTCTAGCTGGCTCACCTCTATAAAGGAGAAACAAGGGTGTGGATGATGGGCTCGGTGGTGTCGGAGCCCAGATGTCAGGAGATGGATCCTAATTCGATGGGGGTCCCCGGGGCGGGGGTGTGTGTCTGAAGGACAGTGGTGTCACCTCCCCTGGGGAAAGGGGAGGGGGGGGTCTTAGGAACAGAGGATGCATACCCACCCACCCAACTCCATCTTGCATTTGGGGGTGGGGGTGTCCTTTGTGCATGGATCTATCTCGGCCTGCAGGGGGCTCCCTCCACCCCGTTTCCTCCCCTCTCCCCCCTCCTCATTTTTATTCCGGCCACGCAGCCTCCCACTCCCGTCCTCAAATTAATTTGGTGCCTCCGTTCGGCACTGCAGTTGTGTTTTCCCTCGTTGCAGCCCCTCACCCAGCCTTCCCCCCCCCCACACACACTCCTTTTTTTTTTTCCCCTCTCCTTCCTTTATTCCTCCTCTCCCTCTTTCCGCCTGCCCCCATTTTGTCGGCGTTCGTTTCACTGTTCCCCTTTTTTCTATACGGGGATTCGGCAGAACGAGAGTGAAAGGGGGGGCTGGAGAAATTGGGGAGGGGGGCGTTTGGACGGCGAATGAAAAGAATGGGGTGAAAATTCAGGGTTTTTTTTTTTTTTTTTCTTTCCGAAAGAAATACCCGTCGGCTATGCCTAAATATTGCTAGGGTGAATGGCTGATATGCCAAAAAGTAATTATTTTCTGGATTTATTTTATTTTATTTTTTTATGGCTGTGCTTGGCTGCTTGAAGAGGTCTGGACTTCAGCTGCCTTGGGAAATTGGATAGCCAGCCCTCAAATTTTCCCAGAATTCCCTTATTGTTTTTATATATATATTTTCCTGTGGGGGGAACTCCTTCGAGGTAGGCCGTCCTGGGAAATGCCATTTGTAAGATCAACCATGATTCGTGGCTTAAGATGTTATCTGAACCCTGGTTTGCTCTGCCAAGGTCGAAAAGTGGCTCTCCCTGGGTTAGTGGACTCCAGTTCCCAGTATCCACAGTCTTTGG